CATCACTCCTCTATTCCTGATAGTATGGCCTTGAACAAGAGGAAAACCAGAAAATCCTCCCTAGAGGAGGGCAGGTTTCTTTGGTACACAATTCAGAAAGTGTCTAAACAATCTCCCCTGAATTCTTCACTTGAACCAAAACTAGGAAGTGGCAATCCCTAAAATACACCTACATGTGCCCTCCAAAACATCTCTGTACTGTCACAGAGATGTAAAGCTACACCTGAAACTTTTTCCAGCAACTGACACGAAAATGCTGAATGTTTCTGAGCATTCTCGGAAGGTACAATGAATTAGAATCCAAACGAATCACAGGAGATTCAACCTTTTTCTTTTCCCTATTTTCTAAAAACAATATTCAGTTTCCAAAGGCAATACTACTTTTTTAACCTTTCACAAGATTATTCCTCCTTCCCTATGTAATAAGCCCCAAGACACCACCAACCTTATGGAAAGGGAGGCTGCTACTCCCTAAGAAAGCTCTGTATCACAAGAGACAAGGCAAGACTAGAAATTCTTATCCAAATAAAAAATCAGAAAGGAAGTAATTGCATCACCCAGCCTTTTGGCACCAAACCTCAACAGGGAGTCTTAATTTCTTTGATTTCTACTCCTTGGAGAAAGGACCTCTGTCCATAAAAATCTCAGGAGCATTCAGATCTCGCCTGCAGAAAGCAGCTGGACACTCAGATTTAGTTAACATGACTGTTAAGCTGAGCAGTTTGCGATTTAGATGATGTTATTTACTTACAACTTATTTGGAGAAATGGAAGTGCATACTGGGTTTCTGTGGCTGGGTTTTGGTAGCAGGGGGATACAGGGGTGGCTTCTGTCAGAAGCTGCTAGAAGCTTCCCCTGTCTGGTGGAGCCAATGCCAGCCGGCTCCAGGACGGGCTTCCTGCCCCTGGCCAAAGCTGAGTCAATCAGGAGTGACAGAAACGCCTCTGTGGTAACATATTTAAGAACAGAAGGTGGTTGTGCAGATGAGAATTCCAGCCAAGGAAGAGTGGAGTGAGAACATGGGAACAACAATGCAGACACCAAGGTCAGTGCAGAAGGAGGGGCAGGAGGTGCTCCAGGTGCCGGAGCTGAGGCCCTGCAGCCCATGGTGCAGACCATGGTGTGGCAGCTGTGCCCCTGCAGCCCATGGAGGACCACTGGGGTGCAGAGACCCACCTGCAGCCCATGGAGGAGCCCACACTGGAGCAGGTGGATGAATGAAGGAGGCTGTGACCCCTGGGAGGCCTAGGATGGAGCAGGGTCCTGCTGGGGACCTGCAGCCTGTGGAAAGGGAAGCCCATGCTGGAGCAGGTTTTTCCTGGGTAGGACTTGTGGCCCTGTGGGGGACTCACATCAGCACAGCTCATCCATGAAGGACTGCACCCCATAAAGAAGTGACCCAGGGGACGGCAATTTCATAAAGAACTGTTGCCCAGGGGATGGATTCACACCAGAAAGGTCCATCAAGGACTGCCTCGGATGGGAGGGACCCCACAGGAGCAGGGGAAGGACTCCTCTCTCTGAGCAGCAGCAGAAACAACAACTGACCGTAACCCCCATTCCTGTCCCCCTGCACTGCTGACGGTGAGGAAGGAGAACATGGAAGGACGGATGGGTGGGGGGAAGGTGTTTTAGATTATTTTACTTCTCACTCTTTTGCTCTGATCCTGTTAGTAATAAATTCAACTATGCCCACTTTGAGTCTGTTTTGCCTGTGATGGTGATCAGTAACTGAGCTCTCCCAGCTCTTAATTCATAAATCCTTCGCTGTTTTTTTCTCTCCTCTGTCCACTTGCAGAGGGGAGTGAGAGAGCAGCTGTAGCGAGTACCTGGTGTCTAGCCCAGGTCAACCCACTACAAAGTTATAAACAAAGGTACAAGAAATACATTACCACGGATATTAGTCAACCTACTTTGCCCTGAGCAGACCCTGTTTCTCAACCAACAGCTGCACAAATCACTGCAAAGTTTAACCACACACTTCACTAGGCACATACACAAAAATATAACAAATTAAACCCCCTCAGAACTTAAGTTTTCTACAGGCACAGTTATTAGCCTAATTGTCTGCCATTAACAAGCTCAGTTTCTAACTCAAGGGGAAGAAAACCAAGATTACCCAACTTCTTCTTCTCCCAGGCTTCCAGCTCCTCTGCATCTGAGCTTCCAAGCTGCACTTCAAGGCACACAATTTACCAGCAGAAGTTGTTACAATCCAAGGTAAAATTTCAACTTGTTCTTAAAAAGGGTGTCACCTGTCTACCCAGCTTCATCTAATTGCTGTTCTTCCTTGTTGACAATTGAATTTGCAGTTTAATTTGCACATTCACTCACTTCCACTGTGGCCTTTACCAAGAAAGCACTCTATCTCAATCAGCATCTTCCTCTCAGCCACACTTGAGTGACACATCAGTTCTGTGACGTGTTGCACTCCAAAAAGACACCACCTACTCTCCAGTTTCTTGCTTTCTCTTAATAATAATAATAATAATAATAATAATAATAATAATGGCCAGTCTTCGCGAGCGAAGATCCGGGGAAGGTCTTTTACACCTTCCAGCCTGCGCATTGGATTTTTTTTTTAGGTGAGACACAGTGTGTGCGGAACTGAGCCCACCCTTTAATCCTAAGGTTCATCTGCCGGGGCCAAGCGAGCTTGGACGGTGGCAGTGAGGTCCTTAGGACGTAGGTGGGTTGCCTTTAAGGGCTAACGAGCCCCACCTGCCCGGGAGTGGCCCTGACCGGGAATCGAACCCGGGTCTCCGCGGTGATAGCGCGGCACCTTTACCACTAGACCACCAGGGGCTCCCTTTCTCTTAATAATTACAGTGTTATTGAGGAGGTGACAAAAATCAAAACAACTAATAAAGCCACTTAACTACCTTTGCCTTACTGGAGAGTCATTCACATTTGACAAACCAAAAATTTTCAGAAGCCAAAAGTTATCCTCGAAGATCTATTTCGGACAGTTTAAAAGATTTAACACCCTAGTTAAAATTACTGCAGCATCTGCTTCTTTAGTAAGGCAAGAATACTGATGATAATTAAAAAACTCCACCTCTTTAAAGTCAACTGAAATGTAAACTGCCTCAAATAATCATGAACTAGTAAGGCTTACAAAAGCATCCTATTTGAGCACATCCTTTGCAAAATCATCTAATTTTAAAAAATTTTTAAAAGATCAGTAACGGAAAAGTCCATCTTTGCAAATTGGCCAAGTACTTAATTATGCTTAGTGCTAAAACAAATCCATATTTTTAATGCAAACTCACCTATTTTCATTTTCTGCTTTACGATTCCACGTCTGTTGAATTTAAAGCTCGTATTTCATATGTACACATTTACCAACTGAAACTAAATCACTCTTTAGCCATCAAGTTAATCATGTTGAACTCCTACACAGCTCTCCTGTTTTTTCCAGTATTTTATTCCTACAGCTCTTCCCTGAGCCTTCTCCAAAACTCCCAAACTAGAGTTTTCCAGGACTGGTTACACTAATGCAAACAGAAACAAGATACACATATATTTTAACGGTATGACAGTCTCTGATCAAACAAACTTCTTCAGCCAAGCACCAAATACAGATGGCTCTACGTGTAATGCATGTACTTTCCCAGCTTTAACTCACTTTTTCCTTGCATTTAGGTTCTGGAAAGACATGGCAGGAACTTTGGTTATTTTCTCCCATGTGAGCAGCTTCAGATCTCTGTTTGCTCGGCTGTATTTTGCAAAGCAAGACAGGCTGTTTTACAACAGTAATTGATATTTACTTTTACAAGTTACCTGTCGTCTTCAAGCTGCTTGTGCTTTACTTCAGTGTAGGAATGTACAAATGCACTACCATGGAGTAAAGCCAGAAGCCAGTTTGCTAAGACTCAATGGTCCTTACTTGCAACTGAATGAATTAGAGATGCTGGATCACAACTTGTGTTTATTTTTTATTACTCCTTATGCTTTAATACTGTAAAGATATAAAGACTCTACCCTTGTGCCACTGTCCAGCCCTTCCCAAGAGCTGATTTGTCAGGAAGCCATAAATCACTTCCCTGACAACACCTTGCTTCCTAAAACAAGGTGACTATCCATTACTCCCTACCCCAGCATACACAGCCGAAGGCTCCCCTTACACACTCCCCCAGTCTTGGAAGAGAGTTCACTTCCAGAGCCATGAATTACTAGAAATGTAACGTTCAAGTCCAGGAAGATCTTTCAGTCACAAAGCAGGGATTCAAGACAAAATTATTTCATTAGGTCTCTCTTCTCAGTGCTTTTCAGACCGGTTGTTTTGGCTTTGAGAAGACATAGGCAGTACAGTTACAGCACACAAATTAAAAGCGTGGGTTATGTGGAAAAAAACCCAAAATGTGACTAACCAGCCAAGGCCTAGGTTCCTAGGGATGGTTAAAAGTTGCCCGTGATAAAACCTGCATCACATCTTTTCAGAAGAAGCTAAACCCTACTGTCAAAGGACTTCTTGAGAAAATGCCCTCCCACTGAAGGACAGTGCGAAACTGCTGCAGTCAAATCCATTTAGGGGACAAGGCGGTCACAAAGCTTTTCCCAGGAACCTCTTCAAGCTGACAACAAAATGCTGCTTCTGACTGAAGGACACCAAGCATGTTCATAGCAAGGTGGGATCACAGAATGTCCTACAGCAAATCCTGCGCTGGAAAGGTCCCACAAGGACCATCGAAGTCCAACTACTGATCCTGCATAGGACTTTTACTTCAGTTTATGTTTTTAACATAGTCACATAGAAACCCTGTAATCTTCGGCATACTGAAAACCTAAATTTCCACTGACTGACAACGATAAGCACTAAACCATTCTTGATGGTTATTGCCATAGTGCTCTTCAGTAAACACCAACTTTGGAGGATATACATTCATTTAAATATTATCCTTCTTCCTCTCCTTGCCCCCCATCTGGAATGAATTATTCTGCAAGTCAAATGACAATCATTTGACTCATACAAAACAACATGAAACCAAGACTGTCAGTAGATTTATACCACATCCTTTAGGTGTTTAGTTTCACATAGTGAAACATATAATGGCTTTCATAATTTTCAACAGATAACTTGAAATTAGTCATACCACAAACACAGCAGTAGATACACAGTTTCAAATAACTGATTTTTTTTCTGAGCTGTGAAGAAACACCTCATTATATACAGAAATAAAATTATCTATTTAAAGCATATTTAAGCATTCCACTATTTTTTAGGATTCTCCCCCCCCAGTGGAGCATTATGCAAAAATCAATAAATAATATCTTATTTCAAAGACATAGCATGGTTGACATTGTTCTAGATGTAAATCTGGAACAATATTTAACTTCAATCTCATCCTATGGTTTTTCATGCAGTTTCCAAAACAAATAAATGAGCCACTGCTTTTGTGTGTTGTCCCCACCACTTTTTTTTTTTTTTTTAACTATAATTTTTATTTAAATAAGACACAGGAACTTCTATACCGAAAAAAATACAAAACAAAAGCCACACATTTCCTTGTGTAAAGCAATATTGTGTGATAACTCGAATACTGTTCAGCACAGTGGCTAGAAATAACAGTACAACTATGTACAAAACTTTAAACAATATTTGACAAATTTCTACAGCTGCATGTAGAATACAATTGAGATAAACAACTGCTGGGAAATTTACATGGCAAAGCATTAGCTTTAACACATTTGGTTCCAAACCTCCAAATCTGCTAAGAACAAATGTGCAATTTCATTAATATTTAGTTTCTCGTGGAAAAAATATAAAGAACATGTAATGGCATTTGCAAATATTGTACAGAGTTCAGCACTGATCTAAAAACCACTCATCATATCCCCTGGTAACCTAACACCAATAACTGAGACTACAATTTCTTATCTGGACACAACCAGAGCATAAAAAATTCATCATACTGCAATGTTAATCTAGAAAGAAAAATATTAAAAGGAATCGATACTTAAGAGTATTTCCTCCCCTTTATCTTCAGTCTATAAAATATATAGTGTTTTCACCTAGGCCTGAGATTAGTAGGGTTAAAGATGGCTGTTGTGTTTAAAGGATTTTCATATGAAAATGGTTAGAGATCTCTTTCTTCTTCTGTATTTTCTAAAACGGGAGTCAAAAAGCAGTGACTGTTTTGTAGGCTGCAAATTCCACCTTGTAAGATAGCACTAACAAGAACTCAGGAAGAGAAAGAAAACTTGAAAGAAAGCAATGCTTCATCTCCAAAGAAAGCACATATTTAGTGAATAGTAATTTGTGGCTCTCACCCCCCCCCTCCAATCTCATCTTCAAAAAAGGAAAAGAACATAAAGGAGCAGTTTAAATGCTCAGGAGCTGCAGGCTACTAATCTCTTCAATTCCTGGAAAAGGTGAACTTTATTCTCTTAGGAGCAGACAGCATAAACGTAGTTCCACTGAGCTGAAAGCAACAGAGCAAGAACATCAAGTTATTTTGCCTTTAGGGTTCTCTTTGTATCACAGGAAATTATCTCTGACAGCAATGCTCCTTTTTCCAGTACAATAGAAGAGCACCATGAACCCGATCTTGCCATGCAGTATTTTGAGAAAGTGTCCAGCCTGCAAAACCAGGATTATTTTACATGGATTTTTCTTTTATTCACACTTAAGGAGAAGGGAAAGCACACTTTTACACACACAACTTAAGTAACTGAAAATTATGGGAGAAGCTTTAAGTAACATGAACTTAAAACTATTCTTTTACCCACCCCTCTTAGAACACCCACTTGCTACTTTCGGACTTTAATCCAAACACAATTACTCACTACATAAATAAAACGCTGCTCATCTAACACTGCTTGACAAAATCTGAAAACCTATTTCCAACCAGCAAATGAATGAACATTTCCAAAAGAGAAACTAAACATTAATTTGACTTTTAGACAGTAACAGTAGCATTTCACATCCTTAACTGCCAACAAAAACCATGAGAGGAAATCCCCATCAACCCCTGTGAAACCTGAAAGAATTTCTGTCCTTGAACAAAAACATTCTTGTCTTTCAAAATCCTCTCACACACAATGTGGAATGTTTCTCATGTACAGCCTAGTACTGAACACTTTATTTGCAACAGTTTAACAGTCATTAACTGAGCAACACCTGAAACCTTTAAATGCCACATTTTTACATCTATTGAAATGACAGTAAATGCAACAGTTGTTTTACTTGTAAGCACATGACAACGTGATTTACATCACAGATTTGCTGGTTCTCCTCATGTTCACCCATGTCCAGGGTCACTGTTCACCTGGATCTGAATGCACTTATTCCAAGAAAGTGGAATGTAATGAGGAAATATTAATGCATAAAACAAGGAAAGGCAAAAGAGTGATGTTCCCTCTTTAGCTTTGTAGCTGTAAAATATTTTATATTCCAATATGATATACATTCCAAGTTACCTGAGTTTAGACTTCAAGAGAAGTACCTGAAGCTAGGCCATAGGGTGGGCACTGTGCAACTGTTGTGGCCATTTTTTTTTTTTTTTTTTTGCATTGTGTGTATTACAGAAGTTAGAAACAAACACCTGGATCAATTGTAAACATAATCCTGAAGTACAGTATTTTCCATAGGACACAACACAGCAAGACATTTTCTATTCAGACAGGCAACATTTTTTTTTTATATATATATAGAGAGAAAGAGCTTATTTATACTGTAGAATTTGAAACAGGACACAGGACACAGTACTAATCTGGTCAAACGTACTATGAAATGCATAGTCTCCACTTAAAACGCTTAATGATATATGGATTCTGCAGGCATTACTGCTTTCTCACAAAAAATGCTGAATACGGATTCTGTCCCTGCCAAGAACAGTGTTGAGATATTTTTTAAAATGCTGCTAAGTATTCTGTGTTGTTCTGAAAGGTTGCCACCTCATGCAGATGTATCTGAGCTACAATCTCCTCAGTCCTTGTTTCGGGGCAGAGGCCTGCTCCGCCTTGTCTAGATTAGCACGTAGCTCTGAGCAGAGGAATGGTCTTCAGTCTGAATTTCTTGCAAAAGCGGCTGCTGCTGCTGGGACGGCGGCTGTACCGGGACCTCCGTGGAGTCTGTTGTGCTGGTGTCATCTGACAGAGACGAGAAGGAGACCCGAGACGAAAGCTGCTCAACAGTCAGGGTGCTCAAAGCTGTGCTTTGACCAGAGTTTGGAGAGCTTTTCAGCGTCAGGTCTGAAGCAGGAAGGAGGGGGCCCAGAAGTTTTACAGGACAGAAAGCTGATCCGGTTGGGATGAAATTAACCTTGTTTTTGTCAGGACATGAAAAGAGAGGGGCTGAGACAGGCTGACGAGACCTACAATGAGAAAAAAGATTACATACCTGGCCAAACCAGATGTTTTTTACGTCATGAACTTTGTGGTTCTACACGTTGCTAAAATGTGAATGACAAGGAATGGGATTAATTGGACAGAGGGGCAAACATCTTCCATATTGGTAGTCAGCTAACTGATCCACAGCATTAAAAATAGTACAGTCACAAAAATGACTTGGTAAGTACTGGACAAACATGCAACCTCCAGCAAGAAAAATCTGCAGTACATATGCACATGAAAAACTGCAGTAATTTAGAATGGCACAAATTCTTCTTCGATAAAAGCAATGCAGCAACAACACATTTAGTCATTTTAAATCCCTTTAAAAACCTCCATAAAACAGACCTCTCCTTTCTAATACTCCATAATTTATTTGGAGGCTTTCTCCACAACCCAACACTGCTCCTTCACCATCCAGCAAGCAATGAATGCTGTCAAGAGCAAGAAACATCCTCTATTTAATTCTTTCATCCACAGGAGCTAAGCATGCAACCTCGACAGCATGTGCTGTGTTCAAATATTGCTGGGTCTAGGGGAAAAAGACATGATGTCCAAGGGTGTAATTTCCAATTTCTTGCTCAGCAAAAATATTGAGCAAAGTCTATGCCATAAGCATACTACCATCTACAAACCCTTTACATCTGTTTCACTTCATTGTATATGTTTTATAAGCATTAAAATGCAATCTATTCATGAAACTGATAATTATGACAAGGAGAGTTTCTGTTTAAGCCATGAAAATTTAAAATCTTATTAAAAATATATGGAAATAGGTTTATAAATATTTAGGAAATTAATGTACCTTATCTTTTCTGCTTGGAGTTTAGTTGCCTTTTATAAATGCACAAAAAGAGTTAAAAGACTCCATTTCCTCTTCAAACCAAGGTAAACACTTCAACTTCTCTTCTGTACAAACTCTAAGAATAGTTTGCTCCTGAAAAACCCATCAGCTGGAATAGTTTATTCATCTGCAGTTGAATAGGCTCAGTAAACAGGTTTACTGCTTTGCAGATACCAGCTGATATAAAAGGCATTACTTACGACATTTCCTCAAAGACCTTCACTCGCTCACATCCCTCTGGGGGCTCTCGTTTGAACATGTAGCTGTTGTTTGGTTTGGGAGATGAGGCATACTTGGGCAACGGTGAGCTACTCCCACTGTCTGAAAATTTAAAGCAGTTATATTACTAGAGATTGCGAGTGCTTCTTAATTAAATTCGATTTCCAAACAAGATGCCTTTTTTCACAATTTAGCCACTACGCCGGCTTGCTTCTACCACAACGCTTCCTTTATTGCAGGCTATTTCTAACACCCTTGTATAGCACATTTCTTCTGAATAACAGCTTCAGTGCAGCAGCAATCTATCACATAACAACACGTAACAGGAGGATATTTTTATCCAGAACACTGCAATCGGAACAAAGCAGAGCTGTGATCCTGGAAACAAATACATTCTTTATTACGTAGTTCAAAAACCATACATGAACAGGGTAATATGCAAAATACACGCAGAAGAATTATGAGTGGTAATGATAATACGCCTTCTCACTGTATAAACAGTGTCACTGAAAATGTGTGTATACAACATGTATCTTATTTTAAAACATAATTCTTCGCTGGAATATTGACCTCGTTAGCCTCATGAAGAGTTCAGAAGTTGCAAAGAAACGAAGTATGTTCGTAACACAGGTACTGATACCTCATCATTACAATGTTCTACCTTACTTGCTTCACATTGTGAAGGTTTTTTTAATATCCAAAATAAAACTTCTACACTTTAATTCTCTCATCACTACTAGCTATGTGATACAGGTATTCTTCATAACTCTAGCTGTCTGTGTATATTTTAAACAGACAGACTTAGATGACTTAGGACAAAAGGCAACGGGCAGATTTATTTGTACTCCTCAGAAAACGTGAGAGAAAGCTCAAGTCTGGTGAAGCACAAAAGTTTGAAATATTAAGACTATGAAAGGGCTCACTTTAAACAGTCATGTTGACAACATGATAAGTCAATGCAATAATGAAATAAATTAGGTACAAAAATATTCACCAAAAATAGCTTTCTGCAGTAGTTTCTACCTTTTGAAAGAGCAACATCTATCTCAGGCTAGTATTAGTGGTTTCCTATTCCCTGCTTGGGATTACAATTAAAAAAATGAAATTGCAAAATTAAAGCAGATCTCCCAACTTACTAACACACACTTTAACTGGACAGAAATAGCTGCTCTTGCTTTAGCTCCTTGTCATGGGTTTCTTACAAGAAACAAATCAACTCCAATGTCACACTCCCCTTTGAAGATTTACTATGAATGGAGAAGAAAAAAAACAACAAACTGAAGCGAACCTCAGTAATGTATTGATTATTCAGCTCTTTCCTGCCATAGAGTGAATACAGAACTTCTATTTACAGAATTTTCAGTGTTAACTACAAAGGCAGAAAATGCTTAGAGATGATACAGATATTTGCCAAGTTGGGAGCATGATGGTCCTGTTGGCATCTTTCCACTGTTGGCCCACACAGCTCATTCCAAACACAGAAATCATTAACAGAACCCAGACAGTTTGTTTCCTCCTTCTAATATTTAAAACTGAAGATCCAAGTTTCTATTTAAAAACTCTGAGACCTAAAATGTACTACTGTTCATTCCACCAAATAGTGGAAAACCGTGGCAGCACATCCAAGGGAAGAATCAAATAGAATTCGAAGTTAAGTCAGTTCTTGGAAGATTCAGAGTCTTGTCTACTAGCCAGTTCAGCTTTCAGTCAAGGTTTTGGTTTAGTTGGCCCTGTCTGGCTGAAACCTTCTATATAAGAGAGCTGCTAAACAACTCTCCCTCTTTACTCTCCCTGTTTTTAAATTTTGCTAAGCTGTTAGACTTTCATTTTGACCAAACGCATCGCACGCTACTATTGGAAACACACTTATGGTTGTCAGGAGGCTCACACCTACATGCTGGGTGTTGCTCCAGCACCTACAGCAGCAGTGCAAGAGCAGAAAGACACTGGGAACACAGGCCACGAGTTGAAGTGGCAAGAGCTGGAATTCACAGCTTAACCCAGCTTCCACTCCTGTGTCCTGTAAGCTCCTAAGTGCTAAACTGTCACGTAATTAATCCCTAATGACACTGCAAATAAATGTGTGCTGTCAAAGTGTTTTACGTGCAGGTTTGTTACTCTCTGCGGCCCCACGGCCGAGCCCTGGGGCCGGGGTCGTGTCTGCACCTCGTGGCTCCCGTCAGCAGGGGGTGCCCTGCGGGCGCATTCCATGCCCCATCCCGCTGACAATGATTGAACATTAACAGATGGAACCTTTAACGGGAGTTTTGTTACCACAAACACACAGCAGACAATATGGAGCCCTATACCACGTGGAATTTCTAAACATAAATATTTTAAATGGATATATTCTGTTATCTAGAAAAGGTTTTAAGATTGTCATTAAAACACTAAAAATACTATTTCAACCAGAACACTTATTACCAGTAATGATAGCTTGCATATGTTAGAACAACAAAGGAAGCTAAAAAAGAATCTGCAAAACATCTTTTTAAATATCAAGACTTTAAGGAAACAAGAAACTTTGCCCGTGAGCACCCTGGGATTTGCTTTGATAGGTTCAAAAATACCTTTGCTTTTTAAGACTATTCAAAGACTTAACTAACAACTTTCATTTAAAAAACTATAAATCAGATGCCCAGAATTTAACAAGTATTTTCAGTTCATCTTCATGAATGTGTTGTTTGTAAGAGCCTACTACCAATAGTGGGAATATACAACGCACCTGATATGCACAAAAAAGCACCTAAACCAAAAGCCCTGAAAAACAGGTCATACTATACATTTTTGTACAAAAAAGCTCCTCCAAATTTCATCCTCTTATAACTTTGGATGCCTTTGAATTTTACTTCTGCCACAGCTGCTGAGCATGCTACACAGCACTCTTCAGTCTCAAAGACCAAATTATGATAAAACTGATCTAGTGAAACTGGTAGTTTTAATACAAAATCATACAGCCAGGTGCCATTAAAATATCTTCTCTCCTCTAATCAATACTGATAAGTATCACTGCTCCATTCAGAACAATATTGTCTGAAAATCAGCTTTCACTTTCTTTTGAAAAACTCAGTAATTTTGCAGCTTCTTGCAGGAAGGTAAACCCAACAGCTGATACAGCCCAAAGGGCAGCTGTGAGGGCCTCAGGGCCAAAGCACCATTTTGCACAAGAAATAAAAGATGCTTTAGGAATGTAAAGCAGTGCTGTGTCTATACAGAGCATTGGCTCCTCTCACTGCTCATGTCTTTCAGTCAAACTACTAACTTCCTCCCCTATTCAGCAAAACACCCAGAAGCATTAACCCTGATAATTGTATTTTTTAATGGTAATGCCAAGTTATTCTCATAGAAAGGAAAAAAAAAAATCTTGGTGTCAAAACATCTACATTTGGTTACACAACAGCAAGCTCACTACAGTTTTACTCCAGCATTGCAAAACCCTTTAAAATGAAGGTATGAAAACCTTCACAAGTTTTGGTCTTATAAAGCAGTTAATATTCACAACCAATGTAATAAACTGTCTCTCAAAATTTTCTATTCCCATGTTATTTCTACCTATATGCCTCATTTATCTATAATTTCTCTATTTGTAAGATCCCACTCTTATTCAGAACAACTGGCCTTTGGGATCTTGACAATCTGAGAGTAAAAGGCATCTTTCTGACTATACTTTTATAACCTCTGAACAAATTACTTTCTCTCAGAAAAACTTCCCTAGTTTTTACCTTGCCTTTAAAGACCTAGGTTGTGATGAGCAGTTCAAGCTTTTATCTTTCATACACACAATACTTAAACTGATTTAAAAATGCCATTATCATGACTTTACAAAGCTGGCTGTTTATCACTGTCACCTACACACTACTAACTAGAGCAGACTTTTAATACAGGTCCAGCATTAAAGCCAGCCTTAAAATTGAAATCCACAAAGAAGTAACTATTCATAAATTTTACTCCAGTTAGCTGTTCCAAAAATCCAAGACAGGAGATAACCCCTTGAAAAACATTAAGAAGGTTAGATGCAGTATTTCAAACCATCTTTACTTGCTACAGCTGACAGTGTACCACTGAAAATTTCTATTATTGCGATACCAGAGTATTAACTGCAAAAGAAATTTTTCATTTCCTCACTTTTTAACTTACATTTGTTATCAGGGCATATATGAACCAATTTACCTGTCAAGATGGTTTTTTGTGTGCTAATACTTTAGTGAACGTCTCTATAGTGATTCAGTCTTGACAACACATTAAAATTCACATGCATAGAATACGAAAGAGAAGTAGGGTGGGGAGGGGAACTAATATCACTGTTATTTTTGGAGCATGGCCAACTATCATGTTGATCTAAGACTTTTACTTTAATGTGGTTAACTTACACACATGTACACATCCACTCTCAATTCAAGATTTGGACAGATGGATTTGTTTTCATTTTGTCTTTTTAAATCCAAGACAGGAAAATACTACTTTTCAGAAACGAAGAAAAGCTAGTATTTCTCCTGACTTCCCCAACCTTATTCACAAATTACTTTGAGAATTATTCAAGAGATAGCATTTAGAAAAAAAGCTTAACCTCACTTACAGCCTCAAAATACTGCTGTCTTTAACTCATTTGTAAATATATGCTAAATCTTAAAATTTTCATTTCCTCTGTGAACCTACTCTTAGCTTACATGCTTTACCCAAACCCTGCATCCTCCAAACTAAAGTTCATGTTTCAGCAAGCTGACCAGAAGCACAAGGGTAATTTCATTAGTAAACAGTTGTCCAAAAACCCCATTTTTTTACACTGGTGCCTCTATTTTCACACTACATGTTCTGTCAGTAACTCTTAGTTACTGGAACACCAGTTGTACTCCCTCTATAAAACCAAACAACATTTTGCAGACTTTGAAAAACAGTACAGCATATTGACATAAAAACACATAAATTATTCAGAATTTCTGAGTTGTTATGCAGCATACATAGCGAAGTAATTACTCTCCATCAGGTTGTTCAAACTCATATCTGAGCTTCTCACCAAACAGTTTCAAGTGGAATGTAAGAGTCCAGAAGCAGAGTATTTTTAAAAGCAGTCCAAAACTTCACCACCATTTTGAACAGCAAGTAACTCACCCATGATGAATATACAGTCTACCAAAAACCTTCTTGAAACCTTTTTTTAAACATAAACATGTTACAGTCTGAATTCTTCACATTAGAATCTTCATAAATAATTAACTGTTTGCTGTGCTCCTCTGACGTATTTATGGAAGATGTTTGTGAAGTTTCACAAACAAGAGGGAAAAAGATATGTAAACAAACAAAACCGATTTTAAGATAAATCCTCAATCCCTCCACAACCATCAAACAAAAACAAAAACTGATGTAATGAGTAAAATGAAGGTAGTTGTAAAAGCAGGACATCACATGCCTCCCATAGATAAAGGCAGGCCATTCTACTCTCACCTTTATCACGGTCATAGAGTAAATCTTCCGCTGAACAAGGACTCCCATCCTGAGATTCAGGAGGGCAAAAGGGAGAGACACATGGTGAGTGACTGCTGCAGCTGCTGCTGCGCTCCTGCACAGACGGAGTCTGAGTGTCAATGCTTCGTGTACTACTACTACGATAGTGAGCAGGTAATGGGGCCCTTCGGCCATCAGGGATATCCAAAGGCTGTAAGAGAAACAAAGCAATGAAGGTTACAGACAAAATATCAAACCCATAAGCAGTGTCAGCCCGTAGCACTCGTAAATGAAGGCCTTTAAGAACAACAAACCATTTTTCAAAGAACAGGAAGATTTTATACAAGAAAATAACGCAGTGTGCAGTGGACACAACATGCATTAATTATGCTGAATGCTGAGACAATGCGCACATGTTCCAAGACAACCACATCCTCTTAACATGAAGTTAACACCAAAATCCCCTTCAACACAGGCTAGTATTGGTTTTATGTTGTTTCTGATAATTTAAAAAGTCAAACCTCACCAACAAATGTCTCTAATTATACTCAGTAATACAATTTTCAATAAAAAGGTCACTGTTATTCTAAAAAGAAAAACAAGTACCCCAACAGAGAACACATTTGGATAAAAGGGAACAGTAGAAAATGTCAAATACAATGACATACTATTGCCATAACAACCAACTGAAATACAATTACAAAAGAAACCATCCATGTTTTGCTAGTAAGTTGTAATTCTCTAGCTCAGCCCTACATTCCATCCTTCTCTTCTACAGAAGATGCACATGCAGGCTTATAACAAGGTTCTCAAGCCTTGTCTTGAACCAAAGCTAGTAAGCTCTGCCTGCCCACATCAGCCTAGCTGGCACTGGCCAGAGTGATATTGCATCCCATTCTGCAATATACCGCGTAGACATGTTCACAGCAGCAGATTGGCACGCTCTACTTACTTGTCCTTCCTAGTGGAAAATTGGTTTTTATAATGCAGACACTACTGCTTTAAATGTAAGAAATCAAATGGGAATTATAGTTTTGCTTAGAAGTGAAAGGGAAAAAATGCCTGCAAGATTTAAACATAATTTTTATCCTCACTTCAGTGAGGACTGTGACCAAGCCATAGAGAACAGCTTAAATGTTCTAGCTACAAAAAATTAATGCCTTTTTCCTTCTCACTTCAAGTGAACATTTTTATTTTATTGCCTTCCTCTTCCCTATATATTCCAAAACTGTAACAGCTTGTTCCAGAGCCTAAAATTCAACCCAACACTTTTGCCAGCAACAAGGACATGAAACCTATTGGCATTCTCCCCTTTTCAGCAAGTCTATCCAGAAAACCACCACATATTATACAAAATGGCAGACATAGCAGAGCAGGAAGATCATTTTCCCCTTATGAGCCTTCCAGCTAATACTATTTCATATTTCAATTAAGGGCAAAGAAACACACCATAAAGAGAACATCACAGTTCCTACATCAAATGCTGTAAAGTTTGGGCACAGCTGTGTGGTCTGTTCCAACAGCTCAGTTCACATTGCACATGCGTTACAACATGACTATATGTTGCTACTCCCATCACCCCCAACAGGCCATGACTCACTCAATACACAAGATAGACCTGAAGCACTGTATTATTTGTTAAACGACAGAAGAGAGGTAAAAAAACAAAATTGAAGCTGTAGAAAAAAATTAGTCTTATAATTATCATAACAAAAATACAAACCTGGCATGCAGAACAGAATTTTTATTTCTGTCTCTGCCACAGAAATTCTGTGAGATGTCAGAAAATCAACTGGGTTGATTTTCTGTATGCCCACTTTATATAGGTCTGATTTGCAAAAGTCTTCTGTATTCAGAGATGCAGAAGGAACCTACTAGAGCTGCACCTTAAACTTCAGGAAATGGGATGCAGTATCCTAAGTTACCTGAAGAGCCACAGTACAGAACCCTGATGGATTTGTGTTTCTCCATCCATAAAGTATAGTAGATAATATCTTTCTTCTCACATAAGTGAGGTAAAAAAAGAACAAAATTTCAGACACTCTCCTATTACACAGAAGCAAAACTTCAGAAGTTTAGATTTCTGACTTCAAAGCAAAGCTTAACAGTAAGTATGAGGACACAAATCTAATAAGGAGAAAAGAGCAACACCAAACAACTGCTCATTAAGGGCAAACATTATGCTCTACATAACAGGTAAATCAAGGATTCCAGGCAGGGGGGAAAAAAAAAAGTAAGTCATCACATAATTAAAGACTTGAGGATAACACAGATATTCTTCCACACCTGGGTAACAATGTAGTCTTAGGTACTGAGGAAGCATATCCCAAATCACATATTTCAATCTCCCCTGAATTAAAACCTGAGGTACAAAAATAATCCATATTTCTAGACATGTATCTAAATATACACACAAGTAGAAAAAGCTAAATATCTGTCATTCTTTCCAACTACAATAACTTTTAAGGCATAGAAAATGCCAGTGAGTAATTCAGATCACTGTGCTTTTGTATTTATTTTTCCCTTAATACTGAATCAAAGTTTTGAGAAGTGCAAAAATCTCCATGAAAATACCAACTTGTTAAAAACTTTATGTATTAAACCCAATCAACATAAAAAAACACTTTCAAAGTTAATTTCCATGAGTCATGCCCAAACGATTGTAAAACTGAAGTTCTCACAACCTTACAAAGTCAGAAATAGGGTAACTAATTTGGTGCAGCTGCTGTTAGTTTCCATAATGCCCAATGCATGGAAAACAACTAGAAATCACTGCATTCTGCTGTTTTTGAGGGTGTTTTTTTCATGAATGTCTAGTCATGTACTAACCTTATGCCAAATGCATTCTGACAGGACACCTGTCAGCCCCTGCTGAACAGTGTGTTCTTGGACACAATTACACACTGCTCTCATCTCCCTGCAAAGGTATGGAAATGTTCCATTTGACAGCATACATTTCTCAATACATTGTTAATGTTCACCCCTTTGTTGTCAGTATCAATGTTTTTGCTGGAAAAAAACCAAGAACACCCAACTTAGGAGGAACATCAGGAATGCTATTAGGATATATAATATACCACTAGAAGCCTTAAAAAAACCCCTGCTCCTCATAAGCTGTACATCTATTTCGGAGACAACTTCTTGAGAGCAAAGCATTCAATGCTTTTGATTTAAAAGATAAGGTTGCAAGTGCAAAAACCATAATGCATCCTGGGAAGCAACCCTTGGAAAAAACCCAGACTTCTCAGATGAAGGCTATGAAGATTTAAGTAAAGCTCCTCTGCATTTGTGAAAATTAGAAAAAGTCCTTTTATTACAGGAATAAGTTTTCTGATAGGTTCATAAAACCATCTTGCTATCTATTTCCAGAAGCACTAAAAGGCAAACAAGGAAAACAATAATCATTATACTTCTGTTGTGTGACAGTCCACCAAAATTGCTTCATTTCTAGTTATTTCTGTATACTCGAAAGATAATTCCAGGACTGTGCTTTTCCTAATAGAAGACCTATGAGCCCATGTTCTGCTATAGGGCATTTTTCACGATTTTCATAATGTATTCCATAAGAGGGAACATCTCTTATCCCCCAATCCCTACAATAAGGGAAATAAGTCCATCATCTTATTGTACCACAGTCTCCAGTGTTTGTGTTGTGGACTCACAATGGGTTAGAGAACAAAAGCCTGCCATGACTTCACAAAGAGCTGATTCCATCTTACAAGTTACAGTGGGAACAGAGACCAACCATGACAGTTTTTCAGTGTTGATCAGGAAACTACAAAAAAGGAAGGAAAATATATCCAAGAATTTTTAATAAATGCATTAGAACATAAATTAAAAGTTTATTAATAAATTTAAAAGAAAGAGATGATTAAGAAGTGACTCAATTAAAGCCAACTTAGTTTTATGAAAGCAAAAAGGGAACATCTTTAGCTAACTAAGCAAGATGAATTATCTGAAAAAATATACACATACCACAGCTAAACTGCAAAGACTAAAATATTTTGAATGTTTTGGCCACTTACAATGCAATCCCTTTAAACCTTATGGTCAATTAGTTAATTAAAAGGTAATGACATAATGACATTACTAATCATAAACTGTCTTTGTGAAACACAAAAATAACAGGACAATGATTTTTTTAACTTTTGTAAGTACAATTTCAATCATCATTAAGATACTTTTAAAAATTAAAAAGAAGGTTTCAAAGAACTATCAGAACTAAGTCAGCATGAGAAAAGACAAGACATTTACAAATGAATCTATACATTTTTTAAGTAGGATTACAAAAATTCGAATCAGCAAAAGGGGAAATAAAGTATGTAATGTCATGCCCTACAAAAGTAAAAACAAATCTAAAAAACAAATTTAATTGATTTGCATATCTGAACATGAAGCAAGTACAAAACTGGGAAGAAAGTTTCACTGGTTATCTATTTGAACTGGGAGCTAAATTCAAAAACTAATTCAAGTAATAACTATAAAACTATCTTTAAAACTGCTTTAACCTTATTTTTGTCCTATATATCACCTAGGCTGATTTCAATATATATGAATTATTAAACAGCTTGTTAGAAAATAAAAATTGTGAATTTATACTGGAGAGAGACTAACAGAAAAAAAATTCAAGAGCATTAAAGTAAAATTTTAGAAATTAACAAAGTTAAAATGCATTGTATTTTACTTGGGACAGCCCAAATGTGGTGATCGAAACGAAAGAAATCATAAAACTACTAATACAGTACCTAAATTTGAAAATAATAAATAAAACCTGAAAATTAGATTCTGAGTCGCAACTAAACTAAAGATATTATTCCTTCTCAGTGATTTTAGCAGGTTTTGTGTTAATCCTCATATTTCTCCTGGCAAGCGAATACATATTAAGCCACTAAGTGTTTCTGCAACTGGATAGATCAATTCATATGAAAATTAAGGTTTCAACATGCACTGTTAGAACTGTGAAGTAAACGTGGAAACAGGATAAAAGAAACCAGTTGAAAATGTAGATGCACAGCCATCTTACAAGTGAGTCTATAGAACAATTTATCCTTCACATATCACCCAAAGCAATCACCTACCTTTGATTGCTCTTTTAAAATAGTTCCTAAAAATACAGAACATTACAGCAAGACAAAATGGCAGAAAACTGAAAGAAAAATCATTTCGCTAGCAGTGAAACTAATGAAGTTTGGTTTCCTATGGTTTATCTTTCGTTCAGTAATTCCTAACCTTTAACCTAGCTACCCCAACTCCCCCAGGCTAAAACACAGCTAAATTGTTTTATTAGGAGAAAGTTCACCAGCAGTAAGATTAAGTAAATTATGATCTTGTTATGATTCTCCATAAGCAAACTGAGACCCAGTAATCTCAAAGACAGCACTAGGAGTCCCACTTGAGGTCCCACATGACCAGACTTCACAGAAATTAACAGTTACATAGCAGGAAACAACCCTCTGCCCACAAAGATGGACTTGACTTCAAGGGCAATGTCTGATTTATGACTTTCTTTTGTGTCTGAAAACTCCTGCCAGCTAAATGTTTGGAGGAAGGGTTCACTATTGCCTTGGTTTCGTAAACTGCTGAGCACCTCTGGCCCAAATCCAAAAATGCACTTAAGTATGTGCTTAACTGTAGTGCTGGATCAGAGTCAGTACATTCAGTAACATAGGAGAGCTCTGCATCCCAAGCAATAAGCTGTTAAAACCCAAGGACAACATTTACAAAGATGATCTGTCTGATAAATAAATGAAATATCCTCTAACTATAGGAGATTACAACCCTAGTCGTAGCGACATCAATGGTGCCACTGCAACACATACATTTTAATTCTCTCTTTGAAGATGGTGCAACAAGGTTTGTTGATTTGGGCTTTCTGTTTCAGTTGTCACATTCGATATTTTTTCCTTATTCCCCTGTTATAATACACACCTCTTCTGAAGGAATGAGATAGCCATAAGAAAGCAAACAGCATAATACTTCTACTACTACAGTATTTCATTCTTAAGACTGGTTTGCCCACACAAGTAAGACTCTGGAGAAGCCAAAACTACTCCAAAACTTCTTAGGTTTACTACTGAAATGAAGAACTATAAATATCAGGTTTTAGAATCTTAAAACCTCTGATTAAAGTTTTATAGCTTGACTAATATACTGAATTATTATAACATGACCATTCATGAGAAAGACACCTACACTTTGGAGAAGATTAGAAAAAACAGTGGAGTAGTTTATTCCACAGCAGAAAATTTTCACTGGCTATTTAGGAAACAGTGGCTGTAAACCAAGTATTTCACATTTTAAGTGTCACCTAAGCACTAAGATCCTCAATGACAAGTTCAACACTCTAATGCAAAGCTGCCCCATTTGTCAGTATTTCCCATGCAGAGCTCTCCCACAGCTTTCATGGAAATAAAATGGTCCACATTCAGTTTAACAGGAAAAAAGCATTAAAACAAAATAGGAGAGTACAGCACAGCAAACTTAAATCTTTCTCAAGAAAAAGAATGCAAAACAAAGCAAATACAATAATCTTCTGGTCTCTAACTAGTTATTACTGCAGCCTGAAGTATCTGAATTTTCAAGCACTTGCATTTCACACAGAAACTTTCAAGTTCTCTACAGAAAGGGCATCCTAAACAAAGTATGTTTGGCCAGAAGCACTTTAAAAATAAAACAGAAAAACAAAAAAAAAACCCCACTATGCTAAAACACTGAAAGAAAGTTTTCAAATAAACAGTTCTTTGAAGAAAATTATTTGTAATTTCAGCCAAAAGGAAGGTTTCTCATGAGGAAGGTTTTCCATGAGTTACAACCATAAACATGTTACTATAAGCTTACCTTGGATACTTCTTCTTTTCCACTGTTCTCCTTAATGAATACTTTTTCCAGTTCAGGACTTATTCCTTCTACATTACACGGCACACGTGAAACAGTTGATTTTGGCACTGAAATGTTTGACAGTGGCATAGGGACTGATCTGGAAATACAAGCCTAGAAGGTAGAAATCAACATGATTTGAAAATGGAATAAAGAGAGAAGTCTGAGACCAATGCTAAAAACATCAGTAAGAAACAGTATTAATTTTGCCATCTAGAACACCATCTTTACTTGGCGAATTCAAATAAAAACAAAGGCCTGTATAAATCTAAATCCAATAAAATCACTTCTACTTAACTTATAGTAGTATTATATAATCAAAGTATTCTACCACTTCACTTATCAGTAAGTAGACAGGTATATGTACTTTCCAGATGCATATACTACAGAATACACCACAGGGGGATGGGGAGCACATGGAGTGCTGATGCTGATGTTTTAACTATGATCAAAAGGCATTTCATAACATTCCTAACGCTTAACAACTCAAATGAAATATTCACTTAATGCACTTTGATTCTCTTTTGGTTGGCTTTAGCAAATGAAAAACAAAACATTCATTCATTAGCTTACAGCTTTTCAGAACTTTATGCCAAAGGCTGTAAGAGGAATCATCCTGATTTTAAGAATCAATCACATAAATAAATACAAGTAGGGTTTTCAGAAAAGCCTGTTGGAGTGGAGCTCTGCTACCAACAGAAAACATTCACAGGAGTGCACACACATCAACCTTGAAAGCTTCACCCTGGCAGCAGCTACGCTGACAGCTGTGAACAGCGCTGGCTTGTCAATGTGTTCTCCTCTTGCTCACAGAATCACAAGATGCTTAAGACAAAACTTAAAAATTTTTTCTGAGTTCTTCTCAAGTGAACCTTGCACAATGTGCAGCTCCAAAGGTGCAGTCATTTGTCTGCAAGCATTCTCTGCCTCTGACAAACCACTGCCTGAAGGACAGCTTTATCAGAGAACACCTTGAGGAATCAAAATGTTGCATGAGCAATGACAAATTAAGCTCCAAGTACTAAGGAATGTTTCTTCATGGCGTATGTCCTAGGTGGATTTCAATCTGTGGCAAAGACTCTTCGTGCTGTGATTATAATGGCACAGGTACTTGCCAGAGCTTACTCTGAAATGTAAAAGCAAACCCTTTCCTATGCAAAATGTAGTAGGATACCTTGTTATAAAGGCATAAAAGGTTCAGAGAGAATATCAAATTTCTATATGTCTTCACGCCAAGATTAGGTTTTAAAGACAAAATTTTATCCAAACAGAACAAGGACCATAACGGACCAGCCATCACAGGTCAACCACTCCTTTATAAAACACCAGGTAGTTAAAAAGGCAGTCAGGAAGTAGGAAATACCAGGACAGAACCAACATTTCACGTGTTCAAACAGGGGCCTGTTAGTAACACGGTCCAAGTTAAGGATCCAACAGATGAAATTTAATCAGGTCAGATGTATGCACTGTCAAATGAGCCCTGATTAAATGCTTTCTACAAGTGGTTTAAGATTCATAAAGTCATTGACTGAATCTTATCTGAGCTTTGGAACTGTAATTGGGTTTCAGTTTTGATGGCAGGTTGTAATGACTAGAGCAAACACTACATTGGGCATTGCACCCTGCTTTGTGACTCTCTTTTATTTTCTATTTTTACTTCTTCACTAGCCTAGACGAAATTAGGTTGCAAAACTGATAGGCCAATACCTTCCAGAGGAGCAGATACTTCTAAAAGTATAGTACAAAAATCAGTCTTGGAAGCAAGTACATACTGCTGGAAGCACAGCCTTATCTGGTCATGCTCAGAATTTTTACAGCATCATAAGACATTTCAGTTGCTATCCTGCTGCAACACTCCTTTTTTTAATTATATGACTACCATCAGATAAACTTCAGCGAAGATATGGTAGCATCAGATTGTTAAGCATTTTTGTGTGCCACACAAGAGTGCAAACAGAAGACAGATGGGAAGGCTCAGCAGGCCATTCTCCCAACCCTGATAAGGTAGGAGGCTACTTACCTGAGTCTGACTGATTGCTATGTGGTTGCCATGGAGAGGTGACTGACGTTCTTTCTCTTTATTGTGACGGCTACTCTGCTTACTGCGCTGAAGCTGCTGCCTCAGTTTGGCAATCTGCTGGAAAGAAGTTCAGGTGAAGTGAGAATGAGTTATGGAATGGATCAGCTGCTCAAATCTTCACGTACAGAATGAATCATGGACATTTTAGTTCTCTTTGGAGGATTTTATAGGCATATGGCTTTGCCTTTCCTTAAAGTACGAGCATTAAAGCTTCTTTATGCTTATCAGATACTTTCTCCAAGGTATCTGCCCTATTCACCAACCTGAAAACAACAACAGGCTGAGTTTCATTACTGAATTCTCATTCAGAACACAAGCACTGCAATAACTGATGCAAACAAAAGCAGTCAGAATGACAATTTGTAGCAATTTCTGACCTATAACTGGTTTAAGCTGGGGACTTTGAAGCCTACAGTTTAATTTATTTGATCTTAAACCAAACCAAAGTTCTTCAATAATAATTCATCATAAAAGCAAGGAGCCTTCATAAACAACTGACAATCAAAATGCATTACTCATCTTAGAGAACTTATTTAATACATTTAATAGCATTTCCCTGCAGGCTAAATTATCACAGATTCCTTGAGGCAGACATTCCTTTTCTGCTGTCTGCTGCAGATTTCTAATCAAAAGTTACGTATTTTAAATGTCAAATGCAACTAAAGCCATTATCCATTTGACCTCCTCCTTAACAAGAAACCAAAGAATTTCACTTGGGGATTCCTCCACTTATTTATTCCTCCTGGGAAATTTCTACATGAAAGAAAGCATTTACCTCTATAAACATTGTCTTAGAAGTTTAGACTGTGAAAATTAACATAACAGGTACAGACTCTTCCTTAAAACTGGATAATTTGTTCCCTTGGGCTCAAATCCCACTGTTCCTCAGGCTCAGCACACTGGAATATAAGGCCACACAGGGCCCCATTTAATTTTTAACTCAGAAAGAGATACAATTTTTAAAAACCTGAAGGGCAAGTAAGGAGAATGAATGCACATGGAATTCATATGTCAAAGAACTTCTTCAGCTGGAAACTAACCTCTATTTCTGAGTGACAGCTTACAAGTACACACACTGTGTGGTTAATTCCAAGTAGTTAAATATATCACTAGTACTCTTGCAGAGAAACTCTGAGGTGGAGAAGCACTTCATGTCACTCTTCACAGTGTCAGAGATGACAGCGCTTGGTGAAGAGGTCTGGATGGAACTTTGCTCCAAGCTGTGGAATTTTCCTTGTGATGTTTCTGGTAGCACTCACTAAAGAACAATCTACCTTCAAGGCTTCATATCACCTCTTGCCACAGCCCATTACCCATATTCAGAGAACTGCTACGCAGAAATGGCTGAAAACTTTCATCTTTCAAGAACAGACAAACAGTTCAGGCTTCCAAAAGGGTCTGTGTATAAAACACATCAAGAAAAACAGAGCTCTAATACAACTGAGATACTAACACAGATGAGCTGCATTTAGAGAACTGGGTCGTAATCTGCTGAAGGGTGCAACTCAAGCACCATGTTACTTGAAAAAACTCTGCAGTCTGAAGAGATACTTCATCTCTAAAAAAATAAGTTTGTCCAGAACTTCCCCATTGTCCCTGTAAGAATACCAGCCACTAGGAAATCTAACTCCACAGATGAAAATGCAAGCAGGTAATCAGTATGGTAAGTATACATACATCTACAAATATTTATGTCTTACACTGGAATGTTGGAGAATGGAGAGAAATAGGAAATAATCTTCATCTTCCCCTTTAAAAACTTAGAAGAGAAGAATGATGTCCAGATCAGAAGACAGCTATGGACAGACATGGTTGGCTACAAGAATAACCAGAAAGCACGGGGAGTGCTGTATATCAATCTTCACTTCTACTGCATCTCCTTGATGCTGTATACTTTCTCCTAGTCAAATGTTAAATACACTATTTTCTTTAATTTAAATGAAATCTGGTCTCTGGGCTTTCCCTAGGAGCTTAAAAAAACCCCAAACAACTACACAATTCCACCTCAGAGATCTGGCTGACTGATTTCTGTCACAAATAACTTGCAAATCTTTGAGAACATAGCTTCTCACTGTACAATTCAGATAGTGAGAGCACTAAATGGAAGAGTGTTGATAGGTTGGTATGACTCTAGGCTAGCCAAAGCCTTGAAGCTCTGATACTGTGAAAGGAATTATGGATCCCTGCAATTTAAGGTTCTCTCAGCCACCTTAAGACTATGTATATTTTGGCAGTCAGTAGGTTCTTGACAGTACCAGAGAGAAAAGGGTCATCCAGGAGAAACAGAAAGATGGAAAACTGTTGAAGAATTTGACTGTATGTGGCACTGATATGATCACTTAAGCCAAACATGCAATGCAGTGAAGAAATGGGTACGCCTTTTCAGAACATACGTCCTTAGTCCTGAACTGGAAGGACCATGGATGTCCATTATGTGGTACTTACCAAAGGACAAAAAAATGGGAAAGTAAAGATGGGCATATAAAGGAATCTGCCATTTCTTATTTATGCTCTGGACATGGGAGACAGAGTCTTGCCAGCACAGGCAACCAGGAAGCAGGCAGTGTTGATGAGTATATGAAATCCTCTAAACTAAATGATGCTCTGTGTCTTCATCAAGGGCAGTTCATGGTGAATCTGCTGCTTGCTAAAGATAATCCTGAAATTACAATAGCTTTTTTCTTCTACAAGACTATCTTTTAATTGCCAATTATTCTCTATCTCAAACTGACATACAGCCACTACTACTAACAGAAAGAGGTGCAGTAACAAACCACTCCATTTTCACACAGCAGCTAAAACAGAAAGGGCTTGCAACACCATTTCCTTCACAAACCAAAGTCCTGACCACGAATGCGACTGGGGCATACACATGAACATTAAGGAACACATGTAAATCACGACAAAAAGATTTGTATCCTGAAGCACCCACTCATCAAAGACTTTAATGCCTTAAACATATGTGCACTTAGATCCATAAAATATTACAATTACTTCAGTATACCAATTCAAATGCTTAGCCTTTCTTCTGCCAGCAACTGTTCTCTGCAACATTGCTCATGCATCGGAAAGACTTTTCTTCACCTACTTTAAAGTAATTTATAAAAAAACTCCAACAACAAAAATCCCCAAGAAAACACAAAGATCAGTGCATCTTATCAGAAATAAACCTACACAAATTCATTCAGGGCACAAACTTTCAGTTCAGCTTTGATGGTTTACTGTCATACAGCCAAAGATAAGATGACCATCAAGGATTATTAAACACAAGCTGGGAAAAAACCTCTAAACATATTTTTTGCTTGCTGAATATTTTTACAACTCAAAGTGTACTTGAAATAAATATGAATTTTGTCTATGCCACTTGTAATATGCATGCAGTTTAATACAACTAATGGCATAAACCTGAGAAATATCCAAATTACCTTGATTCTTTACAACACTGCGATAATCTGAATATCCTGGTTAATTCTTCCCTTTTGAAGAGACTTAGATGTAGACTATAAATATAAAGGAACATGTCACCACCCACTATTCCTCTCCAAATGCTCATTAATATTTACCAGTCAACAGGCTGTATTTCTCCAGGTCAGGCTACACAACGTGGTTAACTTTCTACTGCTGAACAAACCATGAACCCCTTGTTAATGAGTGAGCTCCATCTCATTCATAAGCCATTTGTTAATAAACAAGTTAACAGTAGGTCAAAAAGAAAAACAAGCATTAGAAATTCACCCTAAACCTTTGAATACAATCTTTCAATTGGTATATGAAAGTACATAAGGCATGGAAGCTCCCATATTGAAATCTCTTTTATTCCCACGTCCTTTTCAAGTACTCTGTTGGAGCAGAAGGGACCCTCCAATGGGGGGGCTGCTGGTGTCAGTGTAACAGGTATAGCACACAGAGCTGCTTAAGGGAAGTGAAATATCAGCTGTCTGAAATATGTCTTTAAAAACCTACACAGAGCAAAAACTACTTGTTTTAAACAGTGGGTTTTTCCCAATTCAGGGTAAATTCCAGTTCAGGGTAAGCTATACTAAAACTGCCCCTGAACAACTTCAATAGAATTTCAAACTAATTATTCAGACTGAAAGGGGAAAAAAATACCAGTAGTTCAAACCACTACTTGGTTTGTGTCCAGTACAAAGACTTGAGAGCAATCTCTATCTCCCAGTCAAAACGTGTATCTATTAAAATAGCATTAAAGCAGCTTGGCATTATCTTACACAAGATACCCTCGAGGATTTGTAAAATCAAACAGCAGAACCCTTTAGAATAAACAGATTTTTAAAAAGTTGATTTTTGTCAAGAAATTATTAAAAATGTACACTCTATCATTAAAAAGTTCATAGTGAGAGCAGGGGACATTTGAATTTTTAACAGACACACTACAGCAAAGCAAACAGTGCCTACTTCAGTGCTAGACAGATTCCATCCTAACACATACCTGTTTCAATCAAGGGCAACATCAGTTTCACTACACAAAGTGAAATTCTTTTTTTAGGTGGTAATACAGAATTTATTTTCTTGCTTGGGATCTTAAGTCTATACAACACTCACTTTTAGTTGTTGTAACAAGATTTTTAAAGATCTCTTTTTCAAAGAGCTAACCAGCTGTATTGAACAAATATATCTGACTGTAATAGTACTCAAACTAATCAAGGAAAGAATTATTTTTTAAAAAACTTAAAAGCACATTCAATCTCATTTTATCAAAACCAAATAAAATTCTGCGTACAAGTGTTTGGCTAGTTTATGTCAACAACATAATAAAAAATACATGCTAGAAATCATTCCATTGATTGCTGAAGCAAGAAAACATGAATCCAATCTCTTAAGCCAAGGAAATTGTACACAGCTACCTGCTTGTTTACTGTTGAATGCTATGGGAAACAATTCAAAATTCAGAGCAGAACACTGTTACCTACGTTACACATAACAAATGCAGTTGCCCAGGAGAAGGTGATATTTTTACATCCATTACTTAAGCTCTTGTTTTCAGTTGCCCATAGCTTTGTCAAATTTTCTCTGAAGTCTACTATGCAACATTCTGCTCTCCTATCTCCTTCACATCAGAGAATTTCAGTACAAGTAGCAGAGGTGTTTTAAGAATGAGAATTCAAAATGAAAAGGGGTCAGAAGAGAGTTTTACCACTTTAAGTGCCAAAACACATTATTGTAGCTTTTTCCCTGAGAAGGTCTGTTTTCCAATGCTTTGGATGAAAAAGCCAAACATTTGCCTGGGGGTCCTTTATGCTGCAAATGTGCTCCCCTAGTCCCTTGGAAGAATCTTCACATTTGGTGAAGCTTTAGCAAAAATTTCAGTTTGCACACGTTCAAGAAAGATGTCTGGAACTGGCAGCTACATTTGCTAGTAATTCTGTCTCTAGTGGGTTTAGCAGTTTGAATAGAACTGCCCCAAAGAATTTATCCTTCCAGGAACTGCAGACTACTGTGGCACAAAGAAACTGAGTGCACAGATACTGTTGATTATGAACAAACTCCTAACAGCTCCCATCCCCCAGGTTTAAAAGTGAGCAAAAAAAAAGGGATAAAATAGAAGCCAAACAATGCAGAGACAGAATTGACAAGGAGTTGGAAAGTAACAAAATAAGAGCTCAAATAAGGGAAGGCAGGTGAGTATTGGCTGGATAATAAACAGAGAATGACACTGGACTATGAACCTGAGGAACTAGAAGGGCAAGAAAACTGGCCTGAGAATTTGGAAAAAGGAAAACAGAGGAAAAAAGGAAAAAGAGGAAGAACTGTAAGCTGGAGAAGACAAGGGCAGGTTTAGGAGTGAACAACCGTCGTAAGGTTTGGATAGAGACAACTCCTTTCCAACACAACTATTCTGTCCATAGCTGTGTTCTATCAAAAAACAGGAACCATGAAACACATTGGTCACACATTTCTTATCTTTCTCTTGTGGTCAAGCACATAAATAGGGTGGTAACCTAGCACAATGGGTCACTGTTATCAACTGGCAGAGACTTGCTTCCATGCTGAAGGTTTCACTATCACTGACAGCCACAGTCCTGTGGTGAAGAGCTGCTTACTGCACAAAGTGATACGGAAGTGCCAGAATATGAAGGATAGTCTCTTGGTAAAAGCAAGGAAGTGTTATCCCAGCAAAACAGATGTTACTTCTGTCTATGTTATAATTTCTTTGTACTGGTGGAATGTTTTAAGCCAAGACTTTTCAGACACAAAACTCCTTCTGCACTAATTTCTGGTCACTTCATCTGTGATTCTGAGTGCTTCCTCATAGCTGAAGATGAAGTCATCCAGACAACTGAAGGCCCATGTACCAACACATCAGGGTTTCATAAGAGGTACTCAGTGGGATGGGAACAGACAACCCTCTTTGGATCAGCCTCTCTTTGGCCCAGGTCCTCATCTTTGAAAATGAGGTTATTGCCACCACTAGATTGCAAGACTATTCTGTTATTGTCAAATCTGATTTTAAAATTAAAGTAATTAAACTTGCATCACTCGTTTTTGACAACTACTCTTCCTATCAATAGCTGTCAAGAAGAGGACTATATACTGCCTGTAACACCATCTCCTCAGATACTGCTCTCATTTTTGAATGCCCTATTCAACAGGGAGTCAGGAGAGAGGATGCAAGAAGCCCAGAGTATCAAAGTTCCACCTCATGGGAACATGTAGCAAGATTCATTTTATAAAAAGAAAAGTGTAGTTCTTGAAGAGAGGCTACACACTTCCTGACAGGGGTGCGAGGCAAAATGTAGGTCACTTATTAGGTTCTGGACAGACCTAGTTACACAAACTCTCAACAAAATGGAGGTTATTGGGACAAAAACTGCAACACTGTCATTTCAGCTGATCTGGAGACCATTTTACTGTATCTACTTTCTCATGATGCAAATCCACTTCCCTTTTTGGTGTGTTCTTCCTAGTTGCAATTGTAGTCTATAGCAAAATAAGTATGACTAAAGTACTCACACCATTACTGTACCAACACTAGTTCATTTGTGAAAGTGGTGTCCTCTCTATCTCCAATCTAAAACTTGAACAAAATTTCTAAACAAGAATGTGCTAACATACCACCTTACACTCTGCCTCCTTCAAGAGAGCATCACTAATGAACAGAAAGCTAATTAAAGTAATCCTGAACAGAAAAATAAGTAAGTAACAAGATGGTTCCTCAGTGCTCACTCCGGCCACTCTTTCACAGCAAAAACTTGATAGTATCCAGGGATAAAGTCCAACAAGCATAAAATAAGAATCACCTGTCAAAACTGCTCTTACGTTGGAAATAAAATCTGTTTCAAAAGCAACAAAGGGGAGGGAGAAGGTGCAGTTTTCTGGACTCCACACAGGGCTTAAAAATTGTCTTGGGCTTATCAAAACTTGAAAAGCTCCACTGTGCAAAACTTCTCACCTCTTTCAATTGATCGGCACTGCCCCACGATGCTGAGCGCTGATGTGATCTCTTTTCTGCTCCTTCTTCAGCCCAACAGCTGGGTGTCTAGAGGGAAAAAAAAAAAAAAAAGGAAAGAAAATACACTGATACTTAATTCTCTGGAAGAAAAACTTCTGGCACAAATTACTGCTTTACTGTTTAAGCAGCATCAGAGTTCAGACATTATACATGACGAATAAATTCCAGAATCTGATATGCAGCAGTAATAGTCTCAATAAATAAAAAGCAATACAGAAAACCAAGACTTTGTAAACTTGCATTTACAAAGGATGAGAACAATGCACATTACTGAAAAGGAATCAGAAGCCTGGCAATCCCAGAGACTATTCTACTCAGGAAGGAAGCTGGACACCACCTTGGAAAACATCACAAAACCAATGCCTGCAGTTCCTTCTTGCCCTGCAAAGGGAGGTGGGAGCAGCTCTACACAAACATGCCAGGCCAGGCACAGTACCATCAAGCACAGAACTGTGATTTCCGAGCCTTGGCTACACCTTCATAACAACCACACTGCCATACAGCCTACAGCCCCACATCTAAACTCGTCAGTGCTACTACTTAATGTGCTCGGTCTCTCTGTGCACAGGGCTAGGCTACATATCCCACCTGTGTCTTCTGCACTTTCCATGGTTTTGGCAAAGCTTTTTCTCTGCTATTTTTACACCATCAGGAATATGTCCCCCAAAGGCCCGGTAAGCTGTGTGGATGACTAGAAAGCAAAATTGGAAAAATCTGTACTGAACTTTTAGCTGCATTTTCCCAGAAAAGAAAAAACAAGTCCTTACATAAAAAAATTAAGAATTCTTTGTGCTTACTACATGACCATCATATAATACTCCCTCCTATTTGAGTGTGGGGAAGAAACCAGGAGGGTAATATGGTTATTGAAAAAAAATAAAAGTGAAGAGTTAAAACAACTACTTAAAAATATGTGGAAAACACAGATGTGCCTCAGCCAGGCAATCCTTAACTCTCATCATCCAAAGCACAGCCTCTGCCACATGAGTGTGGTAAATGTGTGTGCATCCGCTTGCTCTGCATTTTAACGGAGCCATGTTCTAAGTAATTACTTGGTTTTGCAGACTGGGTTTAAATCGTTTTTAAAACATTGAAGTGGCCTGCAGATTTCTAAGGAAATAGCGAAAATGGGGAAAATTTGCTTCTTTTTCAAAATCATGGGCTTTCACAACCTATTACAACTTACTTTCCAATTTAAATTGCTCTTTTCTTACAGTATTTTATTACATCCCAAGTACAGTTGGAAGTACACTTATACAGAAGCAAAAAAACAGCAATGCACAGGGAATTCTATGAAAATTTATCTTCCAAAGAGTGTTTTCTGAATACAATATTGCTCCATAATTTGGGGAAAAACTCCAGGATGAAGTAGAAGCAGGAATTTTGGGTGCTTAAGTATTTGTTCGTAGTGCAGCAGGGTGTACCAGGGATCACTACAAACTCACAGTCTTTCAACTACGTCTTAATAAAGAGATATCAAGAGTCTAAAAATCCAAAGTGACTTTCTCAATAAAGAGAAGTACACTGTTCAAAAACAAATCAAATATGTAGAAAGCAAGAGCTTGCTTTTATTTTTTAATAAGCACAGATATTGATCCAGATAGCAAGGACAAAAAACCAAAGTAGTAACAACACCCTGAAGACCTTCAGTAACATCACCAGTTACTGTTAGCAGAGAGGTGCGACTCCTTATATTGCAGTTGAAAATCAAAAGTAAAATTAGAAAACATCCATTCATTTAATACTAAATTTTGTGCTTTCTCAAGCATGCTTTGACATTCTCTTCCACTCAAATACCACCTCCCTTGAGACAAAGATTACATGGTTGTTTCCACATCTGGTAAATTGAGTCTAAACACAACCTTTCAATAATACACATACACCATCAGTATAGAGGGGGCAGACTATTTGTGACCCTCAATTTTATTAGCAGCATTAGATTACAAATACTGTATGATGTTTCTAGCACAGTATTGAAGTCAGGCAATGTTATATTACTGTGCTATTTAGAGTCAGACTGAAAAAAAGAAAAAGCATGAAAAAATAACACAACATAAGCAGTTACTAGAATATTATAGCAAGCTAGTCCTCCTCAAACCCTAAAAAATGCTGCTTGTAATATATGTAATCCACACTATATGAAGATTAGTTTGGGGTTTGTAACATCAAATCCTGATATTCGAGCAAAAGCTTTTAAAAAGCAAAACAAACAGAAGCATCCCAGACTTGCTGCATTCAAGTAGAAATTCTGGTTTTCTAAGTTTAGCTCACGTATGACCACCTTGTATCTCACTTAAACGCTGTAATTTAGATCACAAATAAAATGAGAGGGTATGGCACCCATGAACTGTGTCACATTTCACCAAAACTGTTTTCTCATCTTTATTTACAAGTTCCACAAAACAGGCTTATTATCCACGGAAGCCTTCATTTGAAGATGCAACTGTACTTCCCATGTGTTAAACGTATTTAAAAATAATGGAAGTAAAAACAGAATTCAAAATTACGTTTGAAGAAAAATGTCCAAATCACAATAAACAAAAACCAAAGTTGCTGCACCTCAAATCATAAATACAGTGAGAGAGGTCAGGCACTACCTAGAAAACTGGTAATATTTCAGAGCAGAAGCCAAAGTATGCATCACATAACTATGCACTGAACTTCATGAAGAAGGATTAGTCCTGCAGGTATGAGAAACTAAGATTTTAGCAGAACCTTTAAAACATTACATAACACATGCTGCAGCTACAAGAGGTGGATGACTTAGTTTTCAAACTGTGAAGGTTCGTGGTCCATTTCAGTAGACAGGTAGGGCAGGACGTGTTGAGAACACCGTATATGGTTGGTCTCTTAGTCTTCATGTAAACCACCATTATCATCATTCTAACTCACCCAGCCCTTTAGAGATTAGCACTTCTTCCAACACATTAGGTAATTCTGCCTTGCTTTTCCACCCATGTCAGGGACATACACCTACATTCTTTCCACTGTAATTAGATCAGAATGACTGCATAGAATACCAACCTACCTGAACCTAAAATAAGACTGAATTACTCTAAACATCTCACACTTTATTGCCAGCCCTTCCCTCCCAATTACTATACCTAACCTGCATCCCAGAATATCTACACAGGTCTAGGTTTTACAGAGGAAGCAGTAATGTTTTTGAAGAAATTCCACATTCAGAAGAAGCCCAAGAGCAGCACTGTAAGATAAAAACTGGTGGGTTTTCAGATATTTCCAAAGTATTCAAAGGCCCTCTAGAAATTTTACAGAAAGAAATGGCCTAAGGAGTTAGAAGTTTATTTGACTATAGATGATAACTCCTAAACATAAGACAGGTTAAGTAAAGTTACAATGATAAATTCATAGCTCTATGACACATGTATCTTCTTCCCTGTAACTTCTGTCCAAAGTACATCATTAAATTATCTCATAAAATCAATGATAACTAATACATCAATTAAAAAGTTTCATGGAATTGAGCACCTCTTCATTTATGGTGTTCACTTTAGACCAAAAAAATTCTATCCAGAAAAAAAAAAAAAAAAAACATGTCCAGGGAGGGCTAACTACATTAAAGCCTTGACCTACACATAAGAAAAACTTACTTTAGCCCAACATTCAAACCTAATAACTCTGCATTGTTCTTTAGATTAGAGAGAAGCAAAAATTCTGAGAGGTATTTTGCAAACTTTCTTCATTTGTGTAATACCTAATTACCATATACAATGAGAAAGGCATATCCAACAATACTGGACTCCAGTTTAAGTTGTCAATTGGAAATCACTGGCTAATATTCCACTTGGTCATTTGTTCATTTCTTTGTGTTATTTAGACTGAGAAAGATTACATAGACCTGTTAACGGCAATTACATTGCCTTTAACTGGCATCAACATCATGTTTATCTCTAATCTCTCCTTTTTAATTTTGTAAGTATCTTTTAACTAATTTAGCTACTGCCAAATAATTATATTAACCAACTCTGACAATTACCCAAATGTTTCTGAAGATTCCAAGGTTAGGGATAACCATTCAACATTCCTTACGCTGTGAAGGGGGAAATACTTACATGATGAAGCATGAAGAAGCAGTGTACAAAACTGCTCCATCAGTGCTCCCAACAGAGACAGAAAAAACAGGGAAGAAAGCTATACTGAGTTTTAAACAACCTAAATGAAAAGTTCAGATTTTACAAAAGGAAGGGAAAGTAGGACAGTGAAAGAGCTCAGGAAGGGGACCACAAAGTATATCAAGACATGTAACTTCATATAATAGGAAGTTCACCTGCATTTCTGAAAAAACACTACAAAATAAAAGTGCATACCTCTAATTATACAAAACATACTACTTCCTAAAGATCAGCTAGTTCTGTGTGTATACACACATGCATACACCAACATAAACACATGCAGAATTCGGAGAAACACTGAACTGTTTAAGTATCACAATGCATAGTGTTACAGTATATTTTTCCAAAAGCAAATGTAACAACCTTACTTCTCTATTTTCAATCAAAACATCGGGGGTAAGTAAGAGTGACACAGACTACAGCTCCTATTATCTGAGATGCAACAGAAACTAAACCAAACAAAATTCTGTTCCCTCTATTTAAATAGTGAAATAGGTATTTTATTGATTATTGATTTTTTATATAGATTTATATAGATTTTTTTATAGATTATTGATTTTTTTTAATCATGGTTTTATTTTAGAAAAGGAAGAAGCGTTTTATTCATGAGCATTTTATAGGTCAAAAGAACTTAAGTGGGAAACAAGGACTTGGAATAAAACTCATTGAGGGCTCATCTGATCACAGTGAAGATCAGAAATTGACTTTCATTTTTAAAAAACAAGAATTCTAAGAAACTTGGAACAGCCATAATCATCACCTTAACAAAACTGCATAAAATTTGGATTTTAAATTAGTGTTTAATTAGGGACAAAACGTACCCTTGAAAGAGAAATAATTATTCCACCTACAATGTAAGTTATACTGACAGCATCGTTCCTGAGCTTAGAAGTAAAATGAGATAATTTATTCTCCAATGAAACACGCTCATAAAAAAATCGTGTATTGATTTTCATTATCTTTTTTTTTTATTTGTTTTGTTTGTAACATCTTCCGCTCCGCTAAACTACCAAGTGTTATTATTTTTAGATAGTGTAAACTACATGAGCTCCCATGAGTTATACTGCTACTTAGCCAACAAACATGAAGCAGTAGAAGCACTTGTGCTGGTACCCAGGCAAAGTACAAGGCTTTAATTTAATTTAACTTAATTTGCCATGCATGCATCCTATCAAGGACTTGGAAATCATCCTTAGTTCTTGAAATTAGATATATTTCAAACTACACAGAGATCAAACAACAAAAACCTCCCCACACAATCAAAACATAAGACAATGTTTTATGATAATCTACAAGCCTCCCTAGGAGCATTTTATTTGAAAACAAAACAAAGAAAAAAACCAAACTGGAAATCACTGTGCAAATCACTATGCTTGTTCCATTTTACATATTCATATAGTCCCAAGTAGTGACTCAACCTAAACACTGATACATGCTCGAGTTTGGCTAATACGATTCTTCGCTAGAAGATATCCACCAATCCTGCTTCTGTCCCTTCGAAGCAATACTTTAACTTGCAATGACAACAGTACTGCCTTTCTTCTCTGTTACACTGGATTATGCTGAAAAGGTAAAACTTCATTTTTAGTTTCTGAATGAGGCAAAGGGAGGCAGCCAACAGTTCACATAACCTAAACACTTACTTGAGCTCACTAGGAAAGCAATTTTACTGCCAAATACTTGAAGCTCAAATATTTATAGAACAAGTTTGTTTATCTTTTCTGTAACTAGTGAAAAGGTTTGTTTGTGAATGTTTAAATATTCTAGATTTTCTATTCATAAGGGTATTTGCAAAGTCTGATACGGATACATGTTTTAAGAGAGGGGTTGAGAAACACAGTAACTACAAAGCAGGCTACTGAAAACCTCCTGAACAGAAATTATGGTTTCAAAACAGAAAAGACTTTCAAGGCACAGTATTGTAAAATGAAGGCACCTTGAAAGCCAGTCCAGGATTTAGAGCTTTTTAGGTAGATCTTTTATGACAGTAAATATGACTGCTGCTTCTTTTTTGCTAAAACTGATTGTTTTTAAAATAAATAAGCAGGACACGAAGACAGCATTTTTTAAAGGGTCCTCACTACAGCTGCTAAAATTTTCTTGGAACATTTTAATCACCAGACACCCAAATTCATTAAATAAGCTTCCTGAAACATACAGATAGATCTTTTTTCTTTTCTAAGTATTCTGTGCTTATCTTTCTCGCATCAGAGGACTCCTGTGTTGCATTACACCATATTTTGAAGAGATGAGGAAAATGATATATACTTGTCCAGAGAAATTCAGTATTACACAAAAAACTAGAATCACAGAATCTATTTAAAGATCCATGTTAACTACAGACCAGAATCATGGCACAAGAGATAAGCAACTAATTTAACAACCATCCCTACACAGCCTAAAGACTGAAAATACCACCAAAGAGAGCTAGTTTCTTTCCATTTCCAATTTAGTTTGGAACACAAACTCAGATGACTTACTCCATATCCCAACAGCACTGCTGAAAAAACAAGAATGCAGTTCCTCTGCTAATAATTTGGGCGGTTAGAATGATGTGGGTTTTATCTGTTTGACAGTGATTATCTTTGAGGGCAACAAGCTCCAGCATGAGGAGGAAGCAAGCAAGAAACAACATTCACCTTTCTAGCCAAAGAGTAGTATGAATGCCACAGCAGCCCACCTGCCAGAGCTTCCTGCTAAGGACAGAGCCCTGAAGAGAATCCAAGCCTATCACAAGGGTATCAGGCCATCAATAACCTCAGTTAGCCCTTCCTCAATCTCCCCCCACCCCCAGCCCCAACACAAATACACTTTTTGAGACTGACAGATTTATTGCCCAACTTAGTAAAATCTTTAGTTTGTCAGCACTATATAGAATCCTTTTTTTTTTTTAAATAACACTCAGCATAATTTTGCATATAGCAGCTTAAAAATAAACCAGATACAAGGCTGAGATGGAAATCTGCTTATTTAGCCTCAACAGATCTGCCCACATACCGAAAATTATTTTTAACAACTGTTTTCAAAAAGCATAAAAATATTACCATCGCATACGTGTTACTGCATTGACACTGATTACAAAAAGACTACTGCACCCTATTTTTAGGGTTTCATATTTATAGTAAGATTACGAGAATCCACATTTCTTCAGAATTAAATTGAGTAGACATCAATTATATGAAACATCGCTGTTGTCTTGTTTTACAGCTTTTACCTGAGTAGATTTATCTTTCATACATGAAGGGTAGTGTACATGGGGATCACGTGGCCACTGTCCTGTGAGGTAAGGTCCTGTTATTGTGTCCAAAGAAGAAGTTCGCCTTATGGTACCAGAAGTTCTGATTTGCTGGGATTTTGGCCTGTCCACTGTAGAAAACCAGAACAAAACCAACAAAAAAGTCAGGCTAAATTTGATGTGAAATGTTAAAAGCTAGCTATGACACAAAATGGCAAGAACACATCAGAAACCTTTGTCTAAATGCCAAGCTGAAAAGAATGCCATCACATCAAAGCAAATAACGCCAGACAAAGAAGAAAAACAAATACAAAAGATAAAACAGTCACAAACACCCCAATGCTTAAAGTGTTCATATCTGCAAAGAACTGGACTACTTATGCTACACATTTTCATCAACAAAAAACATCAAGCAAACTTAAATACGGTGATGATGCAACTCAGGAAAGCCAGACACACAGAAATAGAAAATATAACATAGTATAACATTAAGTTAGTTTGCTAGCTTTCTAAATACTAAAACCATTACAAAAATTATGATTCTTAAGAAGATGCATATCCACTTTATTGCTCTCATGTATATCATTCTGTATTATTTACAAGATCCCACTACAGGCCTCAGCAAGCTGAAAGCATGACTGTGTCTTTCCCTCTGACAGAGCTGGGTTCAAAGCAGCTGTCTTGTTTGCTATCACCCATCACAGTGCCTGCAGTTCTCGACTCCTCCCTGTACTTCTCTCCCCTTACACCTGGGTCATGGAACACCTCGATCATGGAACACTTCTTCCTGCATTTCATTTGGAAAGCAGAGTGTAGGATGATTCATGAGACCAATGTGGGAAAGAAGAGTTTTAGAGCACGCTCTCTGGATCATCGTGCTTTGTCCTTTAGGCAAAATTACTTCATATACTAATTTTCCAGACTTCACATTAGCCAATCTCAGCCCTACATTGCAGCTACTGTCTGTTTTGCTCACCCCTACTAAAAGTAATTAGCAAGTGCTAATTTCTAAGTTCATCACGTGCTGTGCACTGATCTGACCCACCAAAACCCTACTCACTGCTCAGAATGTGAGAGCAGACCTGCTGGCACACTTCTGAATCCAAACAGGGCCATTGGCCTTCAGGAGCATTTTCTATTTGTCTATCACCTGAACTGATGGATCTCCAAAGGCTGAGTCAATCATCAATGTGTTGTGTAATATTCAGCACAATTATTAGGGTATAGCTTGCACTGATACAGCATGGTTATAGATATATGAACATGAGAATGTTAAAACAGACCATTTTAGACAAATACAAGCTGCTGAAACACTTCACTAGCTACTTATTTCAGGTGAAGAATTCTAAATAATGGCATGAATTCAACATACAGTAATATACCATGCTGCCTTTTATACAATTGTTCTGACTGCCTTAAATATAAATCAAATCCCTACCATTTCAAACAGAACTATCCTGACAGGATTACAATTGTGACAAATTTGCATTTTAGGAAAGATCTTGGAACTATTAAAAGAAGCATGAAATCCAAAATAAAGATGACAAATTTTAAAAATGAAATTAGTGTTTACATTTGCACTGAAATACAAGTGTACCTAAGGGGTACACAGCTACAAAGCATTCTTCCAACCTTCCTTGTCATGCTATGGCACTACGCTACTCTCTCAGGTAGCCCAAGTTTTGAAAATTTCTCAAAACACACTTTTTAAAACAAGTTGAAGATAATGCATAGCTAAACAGGCCAAGACAATGTCTGAAGATGAGGAAATAAGGACTAAGTATACCTTTGCAAACTTTACATTTAAAAAGTCTTGCTGCCAAAAAAAACCAACCAAGAAAGCACAAGCCCAAAACCCACAAATAAAATACATACAATCAGATAATGACATAAGGTCTGTGTCTTGTTCTACACCCAGAGGAAAGGCAACAGCAACCCCAACATTAACGACTAACATAATACCATTACAGCAGAACAGAACAAAAACATCACCAAAAGTTACCACATTTTTGTTTTTCCATGGTAATCTTGGAAGTGGACTGCAGGAGACTGTCAAACGCTAAAGCCAGGCAAACGAAAACTTTAGGATGCAGTTTCAAAAGTCCCTACTCTTCTTCAGTGTTTCTTTGACTTAGAAACAAACAAATTCTCAACTGCATGAACCAATTCAAGTTAACACTAATTTAATGCCATTCCTATTCCACTCTTGTCTGCACTCTTTCCACCTCCTTTGAGTCGGCAGGCATAGATGTGTGAATCCACCTAGTAAACTGATTCACTGAATTAAACATAAAGAAAACTAAAATTAATTTCCCCAAAGTCATAAATACAGTTTTCCCCATTACAGGCAGAGTTGGCATAACATAATGGGCAGAACCAACCACAGGAGAGCCAGAAGGACCAAGAGGGCTGCAGCAGCACTGAGTCTGTTCAATAATAGTTTTGGCTTCTCACCCTTTATATCATTAAATCATAAGAAATACAGAAAAAGGTATCTGTAAGCATGAAATTTGAAGGGACTTCTACAAGTTAGCATTTGACAAACTGTCTTGTACAATAATGTACTTAGAGATGACAGGATGTAGTGGAGAGCAGCATTGTACTGGACCACAACACTGGAACATCACATCAGCTTAAACTGTTCTCTAAATATTAAACCTGTTCTCAAGATTTCTTTCTTAATTTTGCTTTTCTCACCTCATCCTAAGTCTGGCTTCTCACTATGCTAGGGAGCTACTACAAAATTTTCACTTCTCCCCAAACTTTCATTATGAATGAAATGTTGATGCTACTGTAATAAATACCCTTCTCCAGACCAAATCACTTTCTCTGGATAGAAACTTAATGATTCTCACAAAATCAAGCACCATCTGATAGCTGAGGCACTCCAACAGTTCCTGAACACAGCCAACAGACTTCAGCATTCAAAAAGGTTTCAATAATATCAAGACATCTCTAAAGTTACAGACTGATTTTATTCAAGTTTCAGACTACACCTCATCTGACAATATTTAAGTGTATGAATGAGTAACTCAGAAGGATTCTGTTGTCTTCCTCAGTGACATCTGACACATCTCACTAGAAGCTCAGCTCTACCTCCAGGACAAGTAAACTTAGGAGAACAGCACTGAAGCAGTGTAACGTTACTTGAAAAAGTTAGCTAGAAATTAGAAAAGCAAAATATATGCTTACAGGAAGGTAAAATACCTCATGTGTTATTTAAAATATGCCACAAGTTTAATGGCATGTATTTAGAGCCTACTGCTACACTATTCTAGATATAAATAATGTTACACAGAATGACAGAAGGGTCCACCTCAATACTACAGCTGGTGAAATTCGACGTGATCCTACCTCCCAGCAGGAACCAACTAAAATAAACTGCATGAAATCACAGTTCTGCATGCTGGATTGAGAGCAAAGAGAATTCTAGTTCTACCACCTAGACTGACTGAAAAAAGGTTTTCATTTCTCTGACAGTAAGATGTAATTCAGTAAGAGCCTAACACGACAGCTCTTTTCAAAAGGACACAGAGCTCAAATAAAACCATCTGCTACAGCTCTAAAATGAAGAGCTTGCTTTCCCATCCAGCATAGGGGCAGCTAACCTGTGCATAATCTGAAAGCCATGTTCACAGGCCATTTTTAGTTTAAATAATGCTTTGTGCCACACATGCATAGAGGAAAATCACCTGCAGCTGAAGAGCATTGGTAGTGTTATAAAAACTGCTTCAGCTAAATCCACCAGAGTTCATCTGTCAGCACCTCTTCTTCCCATCTTTCTCTCAGCAGTGAGCAAATGCAGTTCAAGTTTGGCAAGAACTTTTCCACTCACATCCTTGCATGGATATAACCAGCTTAAAAAGACTAATAATCTCATTACTGATGTTAGCTAATTGTGACACTCTCCTGCCATAAGGTTAGACAACATTCTTGCAGTAATATCTTGATTTTTCTCTTGGAAGTTTAAGACAAACTATTAACCCAAGACAGCCAAGTTATGACATTATGAAATATCAGTACTAAATTCCACAATGAAGTTTCATGAGATGTTTCTCTTCAGTTTAGTTGCTAGCACTCCACAGAGTATTCTGGTTAAGAGCTACTACTGAAGTGAGTCCCAAGCTTAGGACTCATCCATTTCTGAAGAATTTCAGATTTTACATAGGCAATGAATACTAATTCCAGATATACTCAAGACTCTTGGAAGGACTCACTTCAGTGGATATCCCCAGTCTGCTTAAGACTCTTTTCAAGAGCCACAAAGAGTTCAAGTAGTCAGGCTTGAAGGATATGCAGAGACTGTGTATCACTGAGTATCAGATATTTCTAGAGCATTCCTACCAGACATGACAACAAATTTACAACAATCTACAAACCCAATCAGATGCAGAAGTGCCTGTGTGAATGCCTCTTAAATGATGAAGTACCTGGGAATGCAGTCCAAGGAATCATAAACTAGAAACGGAAAGCTGAATAATAAAGAATGGTGACCCACAGTGACCTCTAAGGATGGTCAACACCACTTAGGTCACAGTTCCCACAGCAGCTACTGATGACTGTCCCACACATCCAGCTAAAACTCCCCTCTTCTGTTACACCTTGTACAAGCATGGAAGAGGGACACCTCTACTCTTCCTTGCTTCAGACAGCGATTCCTTGAGTACCACAAAAAGCAGATTTTCACATTCAAGAGGAGTAAGTCTAGGACAAGTCTGGGCAAGGGGGTTTGCCTTTCTGTTTTCTTTTTAAGCAAGTATATAGTGACACTGCACTGATTCCTGAATGTATATCTGATTGATCTTTCCTGCTCTGATTATATAGGCAGATGGTCAAACTGGTGCATGTTTTTTTGCAGAACTTGTCTCTGTGATTTTGAGAGGAAAAAGACTGAATAATGGGGATTTAGAGGCCACTCCAAAAAAATATTTCAAACTTCATTCTCAAGAAGGCTTTTCTCTCGTAATTGGAGCCAAAATCTCTCATGAAAAAGATTAACAAGGGATTTGGGGTACCCTGAAGTTTTACTTCAGAGGACAGATCTATTGGCTCAAAAGACATTTCCCAGTTGCCAGTGACTGACAGACTTGTTTCTGACCCAATCTGCAAACTGGCTGAATGATTGCATTAA